TTCCAGGTTTTTTCATGTTTTTATTTTTTATCTTTTTTCGTATATATCTAGAATAGTTTTTGGGTTCAATCATTTCCATTTTTGTAGAGAATTTCAAGCGCTATCTTTTGATTAAAAAAAGTGTTTGAATCATATGAAGAATAAAGAGAAAATATTCAAAATACAAACAGTATAATTTATTCTGGCCTATCCGTTATTTCATGTGCATTGATTTCAATGTTAATTGATCTTTTAAATCGGATAAAACGGTTAAAGATTGTTGTTCTTCATCAATAAGTTCATCTTGTTGATTCAGGAATTTTCGTAAATCATTTTCTACTTTTCTTTCTTCGTTTTGTGAATCATTGATCTCATCACGTAAAGCTTTGAAAATTTGCATTTGCTTTTCTCGATCATCAACGACTAAAACGTCCATTGTACGTTGAGCCATATCGATTTTTTAAAAATTTCTTCTAAAATAAAATTAAAATAAATAGCAAGTCTTATCATCACTCTTTCGATTGATTTTCGCGTAAATAGTAGATCTGATCAATCGAATGTCATTCTTCTTTTGCAATCTTTTATTTGTTTAGAAAGAAAAGGAAGAAATGCCTTACTTTTTTTTCTTTCGATGGAAAAGTTATCTGTTTTAAGGAAAAAAACATTAAATCGAAGCCTCCTTAGAACTAACAAAAAACAAATAAATTCAATGAAACATTAGATTCCGTGTTGATGTGATTTTTTTGCTTTCTTCCTCTCGATAGTGAAAGAACAATTCTACTTTGGCTACCTACATCGACGTTAAATCATGATACACGATACTAGCTTACTGTGAATCAATGAAATTTTAAAGGTGCGGGTGTTTGGAGTATGTATCTGTATATCAGGAAGGATCTATATACGTGCGCACCACATATCCATTCTCTATTCAATATGGGAAGATCGATGTAAATTAAAATGCAGTTTTGACCCGAAAAATACAATATTCCATATTTTTGAACGTGAACAATTAATCAGTATGAAGTTATAGGAAGACAAACATCATCCAATGAAAATGTTTACATATATTTCAACAGAAATGGAAATGATCACATCTGGAATCTATGAAAAAATGAAAATTTATTCTGAATATTTAAGCAAGAATCAAAGTTATTATTGGTTAATCTTACACATTTTCTAATACTTCACGTTCTGAAAATTTTAAAGAATTCAACAGAAATTGTTTAATTCGATGTACACAATAATTGGCATTCTAGTCGCATATTTTTCTTATTTGTTTTATCAGTTCTGTATGCAAGATCCTAGAGGAAAACAAAACTCAGCATATTGCTCATAGAAACACCTTTACCACAGGTAACAATGCACTCGAAAATAAACTAAAACAAAGACAAATTCGTAATTAATTGCTTGCGATAGCCGTGCTTGTGGCCACTTCAGCGTAGACAGTAACTAAACCAGCAGCATTTTGAATGTCATAAAATGAACCTCCCATTTTTTTGTTGATTTTTTCTAAAGTTTCAACCGATCGACAACCATCACTAAGTTCTAATGTCCAAAATTTTTTAATAACAGATTTATGAGTATTGAATAGTTGATTTATTTCGTTATCTGAATAATACTCGTCTTCTCCATCGGTCATAAAAACAATAGCAAAATTCTGATGAATTGAATTTGGATGGGGCTTTTCTTTGAATTTACTAATTACTTGAACAACACAAGCGAATGCAGCACTAAAAGATGTTCCACCATCATGAAATTTTATCTTTTCTAGATCGACCTGATTAACGGTTTGGTCTTCTATTTGTACTTCTGCGGTATCCGAAAAGACGATTATTGTAAATCTATCTTCGGTTTTTAATTCTCGACGACGATCTAAAAATTCTTTAACTGCATCCATTAAGTAATCCCATTGATTTTCACTACCCATCGATGCTGATGCATCCAAGAGTAATATGAAATGATATGCTTTATGAATAGCTTTTTCAGGTATTCTTTTCGTATTGTGTGTCACAAACTTCATTCGATATACTTGACAAATCTGTGGCCCAATTTTAGTCCATATTGTTAAAAATTTCTTATGCACAAGATTTAATTCCGTTTTATTTAATGGTGAATCGAACAACCAATCTGTATGATCTCTCTTAAATAGGGACCATTGATAACATCTAGCACCAACAACAATCATACGATCATTTTTTATTTGATCACACATTAATAGTGATGCCTCTTGAGTTACTTCGAATTTATAACCATTCATAGCACGTAATGCATGACCAGATAAACAACGATGCTCATTATTTTTTGAACCTGGTTTAGATTGAATTTGTGTATGATCAACATCACATGGTCGATTACAACATGGACAGAGATCTGGACATCCAAGTACTTTATCCAAAAGAGCTTCATAATTATCTCGTTTATCAATACTTTTAAAACTAATATCCATTTCTTTCAATTCAGTCATGAAAAGATCGTATTGATTATTTAAAGCTTGTAAAAATGTGTCTAAATTTCCTATAGAAATTTGTTTAAACATTGATGATACTGATTCGATATCTTCGATAAAGTATCGCTTGGTCTGTGTTGTTGTAAAAGCCATTGAAAAGTATGAAGCGTATCAGTATCTATAGTATATTTTCGATTATTGATTTGAATTAAATCGAGTATAGTATATTTAGTAAAATATTGATAAAGTAACATTGTTAGACAACATTTCTTATCATTCAATTGTTCATTTATACATAATGAATTTGTATTTTCAGACGTAAACATTTTGTCAGCTAATTTGGCAGAAGACAATTCTTGAATTTTATTTAATAGACCTATGTAAAAAAGTGAAATTGAACGAACATTTTTTCTTCATATCAAATTTAATATTAACTTACGTTCCATGCAAGTAAAAAATTCCTTTAAAATATCAGCATAAAATAATTTTCTTGCCACTAATTCTCTATTAATTATTGCTTCAACATCTTTCCATATATCTTTGAAGAGTTGTTCAAAAGATTTTCTTGGATTTTTAATATAATCTAAGTACCATTGAGTCTCTTGATCAGTTAACAATCTCGCATCACAGCGATCTTGAATCCATTTTCGGTTGAGATGTGTACAATTGTTCAATCTTTTATTGATTATATTTTGTCCATCATCAATTATAAATTGGACAAAAGATTCTTTTATGTCTTTACAAAGTCTTATTGCATATTTCTTATCAACTTCCGTATCAACTTTCGTATCCGGAATAACCCTATCTATAAAATATTGCTTAAGATTGTCTTTTTGTGTTTCTAATTTTGATAAAGTTTCAGCAAAATAGTCTTTTTGTTCATCATAGTAATATTTTGTAAGTAAAATAACTGCACAAGAATGAAATGTTGCTTTTAATGGTCGAGATAAACTTAAACAGAATGGATATAATTCCTCATTAACTTTCATTATCAATGAATCTATACGACCCACAATTTGTTGTATTAATTGTATTTGAATTTGTCTTATTTTACCATTTTCCACAGATCGCATTGCTTTCGTAATTCGTGTGATAACTTCTCTAAAAGCGATTGATATTGGAAAATACATTTGACTTTCATCTAATATTGATACATCTCGGATAATCGGTTTTTGTTGTTGAATATCATTTCTAATCTTCATTTGAAAAGCATCAGAATTGACAATTATTTCTGATGAAACTGCTTGTTCTCGATGTTTATCTTCATAAGTTGATGATTCGTAAAATTCATTAAAGGCTTTTTGTAATAAATCTTTATTTAGATAGAAAAGACTTTTAATCATAATTGAAGAATAATTTGTATCTGGATTATAATGATGAACTTTAACTAAATCTTCTTTATAACCTTCTCTTGAAAATTGTAAAATTAATCCGTTTTCAATTTGATTAATCGATGTTTTATCTTGATTGAAATTTGAAAAGAATTGCAAATGTTCGGAAACATGTTGAAATTTGAATAAATATTCTTTTTCATAGATATTATAATTTGCATAGATGGTTTTATAAGCTTGTTTCAGACGTTCTTCAGGAATAAATTCTGATCGAATTACTTGAATTATATGATTAAACATTTCATCAAATACTTTTTCAACATCTTTAGTCGACATTTTTTCTTCTGCTGATCTTTTCCGTTCACTTTCAGTTGTCTTTTCGATTAATTCTTGTAGTTCACCTTTACGTTTATCTACAAGTGCTTCGACTTTTTCTCTTTCATGTCTAGCAATAGTTGCTACACGTAAAGCCTTGAACATTTGTTTGGTCTGTACACTTAAAAATTGTTCAGTTCGTCTGCGGAGTGTACTTGGAACTTTTAATAATTTGAATCGTTCTTCAAGATTGTTTCGTGTACGTTCCTCAATTTTTTGTTGCTCTGTTTCAAATAAATCTCGAAGTTCTTGTTCATTCTGTTTGGAACATGCAACAATTAAGTGATTGCGATATTATGAAAATAAAGAGATAACTGCTGCAAAAAGCATATTTTTTTTATATATTTATT